AATTTTTGAAAAGAGCATGAAAAAAATGTTTCAAACTCTGTCAATCACTGAAAAATTGTCCGATTTACATTCGGTTTGGACAGGGTGGCTTGTTTTTTTTGCGTAGAATTGATTTCTGAAATAAGAAAGTAGGGGTGCCATTCGAAAATTTTGACTTACGGGTGGGGCACCCCCCGCCCCGCGCCCCTCCCGCGGTTTAGGAAAATGTCGAATACGCCAAAAGGTGTCCCCCTCGATATAAACGAACACGTCTTTCACCGTTTTTCGAAATTCCGACGCGTTCGGCAGATATTCAAGGTGGCTCGTTTTTCGTGAGACACCCTGTAGAACGAATTTACTGGAAAAATTGTGAATAATTTTCTTCGAATTTTTCAGACAATTTTGTTAGCAATTCTATCTAAAACGTCTGAAAAATTCAAGGAAAAATACGCAAATTTTCATTAAAAATACATGTTTTATCCAGGGCAATTTGGCAATTTTCGATGCTCATACGGCGACGCTCCTTAGCACGGCAGAATAGAGAGTTGTACTTTATGGCCTTTTTTTGGAAAAAAACAAAATATACTGCCCCTTATCAGTGAATGCACAGAAAAAAAAATGAAGTTGATTTAACATTCTGGATGTAAAAAAAAGTGTGCAAGAACTCGCAAAATGTTAAATTACCCGCTATGGCAGTCAATTTTACATCTTGACATTGCTAAAGTAAATGCTACAGCATTAATTTAGCATTTTGTAAGTTCTCGCACACTTTTTTTACATCCAGAATGTTATATCAACTTCACTATTTTTTTTTTTTTTTCAGTGTGCAAATGAGTATGTCAGGAGCCTACCTGAGGCAGTAAAAAAACAATTTAAAAAGCGGGTAACAAGGCTAAAATTTCACATACACAAAACCAAAACGTTTCGGCTAAAAATTCAGCCATCCTCAGTTGGATAAATCAAAATAAAAATGGTTAAAAATCTAAAATAGTACCTTATAAGTACATTTCAATTGGAAAGGTACCTTTCAATTGGTGATTTCCAACTGAATGGTACTTATCAGGTACTATTTTAGATTTTTACCCATTTTTATTTTGATTCATCCAACTGAGGATGGCTGAATTTTCAGCCGAAACGTTTTGGTTTTGTGTATGTGAAATTTTAGCCTTGTTACCCGCATTTTAAATTGTTAAGCGCTCAGCCGATAGGCAGCGCTTTTTGATTTCGACTTGCCTCTAGAGTACTAGTATACTAGTGCTAATTCGTTTAAATGGCGCACCAGCTCATCGATGTGTAGGCTTTTTGGGGGAGTCCAGTTTTAAAATAAATGAAGCTGTGAAAACCGTATTTTACGCTTTTAACGTAATGCGCAGGTAGTTTCGATCGTTTATCTATAAGAAAATTCCTAAGCGGTAGAGTAATTCTTATCGAAATTGATCATTGAACTCAAATGAAGCCTAAAAAAACGCGCCTGATGAGCTCAACGGTGACTATCATTTTCGGGAAACGAAAAAACGCGTTTACGGTTTCCTTGGTAACCTTTGTTTGCTATCAGCTGATGTTTTAATCCCATTTCCCAGCCAAGTCGACGGAGTTTATACTTCCTTTCTTCACTAAATACATTGACTAACACCTGAGCCCTTTTCTAATACGACAGTAATAAGCGTCCAGCCCACGTACAAACTGGGGCTCTCAAACTGGCACTAATTCTTCTAATGCTCAGCCATTTCTGCACAGAATGCCTTAAAATTTCAAGATCTGATCTGTGATGTATCCCGAACACATCGGTTACCCTCAAAGATCGTCGGCCCGACGATCTTTGAAAGGCAACAGTCAACAGTTCCATCATCGATGAGCCTCTTTGAGGCCCCTAGTTTGTGGGTGGGCTGGACACTTTAGAACTTTCTCGCTTGTTTTTTTATTGTATATCTTGTCACGGGCTGCAGAGCATCTATCATATTTCATACCTGAAGCAGTGTTTATTGGAGAAGTACTGGGAAGCTTTGGCGACGATGAGAGCGTCTTTGGCGAGGCTGAGGGCGCCCGTCTCGGGGAAGGAGTCGAGGAACTGTCCCTGGGCGGGGGTGCCCTGTTGGACGTGGACGCCAGCGTTGGAGATGCTCGTCTCGTGTCGCTCCGACTTAGACACGAGCCCCTGCGCGTAGGAGATCGTCGCCGACAGCTCGTGCGAATCTATTACTGGAATGTGCCGCATAGAGCGCCGGCTTCTGCTTTGCTCTAACCCGTGCTAGTCTTCTGAAAGTAAATGAAACAGTGACAGAAAGTTCCTGATTTCAACAACGCAATGAATGGACCTCTTGCACGGAGAAAAAAACTTCGTGCGTGGGACCCGAAGTTTAAGTGGATTGCATTTTGCAAAAAGGAACCACTAGCATTGCAATGATGCTAAGATTGTGCAACTTCATCTTTTGCAATAAAATTGCGGAAATCGTGAAAAACTATGAAATTTAGATGGTAATTTTTGTCTTAAATTTACAGTTTTTAGTGAGTATAATAGAAACTATTAATGGATTATCGGGTTTTTCCTCCAAGAGAAAAGAAGTTGCACAATCTTAGCAACATTGCAATGCTAGTGGTTCCTTTTTGCAAAATGCAATCCAAGTCATATGGATCTCTGAAGTTTTCGGATCGAGCATCTGAACACTTTAGATCTAGCTGTCGAGGTTCGGATCACACATCTGAAACTTCAGTTCTTACATCTGAAGTACTTCGGTTTTCACATCCGAAAAACTTCGGCTCTTACATCTGAAGTACTTCAGATGTTAGAACTGAAGTTTCAGATGTGTGATCCAAACCTCGGCAGCTAGATCTAAAGTGTTCAGATGCTCAATCTGAAAACTTCAGAGATCCATATGACCTAAACTTCGGGTCCCACGCACGAGGTTTTTTTCTCCGTGTGCAAACTTTAGTTAGGGCAAAAATAAGATTCTTCTAGAAAACCAGAGGGTGTACCTCATGGCCTTCTTTTGTAGTCGCAGTGCACTGGGGAAAAAAATCGCTTGGATCTAGAATCCAGACTCTGAAGGTAATTCGATGGACGCCTTATTTTGTGTTAGAAGTTCTGACGACAGAACGACGTGCGATATATCGCATCGATTGGCTCTATTTTTTCAGCTACTCGTTATTTTTCTCGAATTTTGAGATCGCAATTCTGTCGTCCGGAGACTAAAGAATTTACTTACCCATTTTAACAAACAAATTTGTTTGCTACAACAAAAAGTTACATCATTACAAAGTACTTTAAACGGTTTTTAGCTCTTGAACGAACATTCATGTTGAAATTTGCAGCCTGTCATAAAACACGGAATTTTTAAAATTTAAAATTTAAACTAGCTGCTTCAGCTCGCTACGCTCGCTTGCGCCGCTAGCCGGTGGCTTCGCCCCCTGGACCCCCAGTCACTCGCTCCGCGAGTGAATGTTGGCTGCTACGAGTAATTAGAGGACTTCCTGGAGGAAAAATGATAAATTCAAAAACAAAGAATAAGAAACTGATAATGATAACCACCTACTTCTAGAAAAAGAAACATCTTTGAAAAATAAAAAACACTCCTTGAAAAGAAAATCAAAACACTTTGTGAAAATTTAACGGTGCGAAAGGGTGAACATTAATTACCGATTCTCTTGGAGAACACATGAGCTGCTGTAAAAAAAATAATTATTAATAAAACCTCTGCTGCCGTAAAAAGGAAAATTATCTTCTGAAAAATACACATTAAATTAAGTAATTTTCATGTAAAAAAAAAACTATAATGATAAAATCAAGAAAGCAAAACTCTAGACGCACTACTGAGAAACCTGGACAAACCGAGAACTGAATATGAGCAATGCGACGGAGAAAATGCGTAGTAGGTGTTCCGAGTCAGACGGCATAAGAAAGGGAGTGATACTGACAAAGGACCCATGCCAGAGCAGAAGGGTGACACGTACTAACGGCAGGTAGGGATGGGTTTACGTGGAGAGGGAAACGGAAAATCAGAGGGTGGGAGGTCCCCCAACCATATGACTCGTCCAGTGGCAAAGACGAAAATATTTCGTTATCAAATCGAGGTAAATTTTGCAACGTCGGTCGCGCAAATTGAAAAACTAAATAATGTTGGCACGTCTACAGCCTAAGAGCTTTCATTTAAAACAAATCCGAGCAAAATCGGTCCAGTAGTTTCCGAGATCGAATTAGCACAAACTGTCCAACATCAAAAATGCAAGCATGTCGTCATCAAATCGAGGTAAATTTTGCAACGTCGGTCGCGCAAATTGAAAAACTAAATAATGTTGGCACGTCTACAGCCTAAGAGCTTTCATTTAAAACAAATCCGAGCAAAATCGGTCCAGTAGTTTCCGAGATCGAATTAGCACAAACTGTCCAGCGGCGAAAACGCAAATATGTCGTTATCTAATCGAGGTAAATTTTGCAATGTCGGTCGCGCAAATCGAAAAACGAAGGGGTTTTGGCACATCTAGACCCTATGAGCTTTCATTTAAAACAAATCCGAGGAAAATCGGTCCAGTAGTTTCCGAGATCGAATTAGCACAAACTGTAGGAGGACAAAAAAAGCCTTAGGATATTAAAGAGCTTGATGCAAAAACGGCTTTTTTCGCCCCCCCTCTGGAAGTTCTTCAGACTTTGTCTATTGATTACTCATACTTGAGCGCTTCTTTTCCCAAATTTTCAGACCCCCAAAAAATTTTGGGGGGGAGCTAGGGGGGGTGGAAGTCAAAACCTGTGAACCTCGATATCTCTTGAACAAAGCAAGATATCGAGGTCCGGTTTGGACGAAAAATCGTCTAAAATTGCATACTTTAAGATTCTAAAGGTCAAAATCCCGATATCACATTTTTAAGTCAACATATGTGCTTTTTTCCAGTTTTTAGGTCTAGAAAATTTCTTTTAAACGAAAAATTTACAAAGATCTCAATTTTTTATTTGAACCAAAACCAGTTTTTTAAATTGTTCGTCTTTTTCCGCATCCAACGAGTGGTCCATTAAGCTGGGGAACCAAACGGTTCCGGAGTTATAATCGATTGAAGTTTCCGCTCAACGCGCGCCGACCGATTTTCGCGCGCAAAAAAGTCGGATTTGACTGTTATTAGATCAGATTGAATGTTCAAACTGAGCAAAATGCTTTGTTAGGGACTCTGGGGGGTCGCTGAGTTCAGAAACTACCGATACTTTAAAAAAATTCACGTTTTTAAAATTGCAGTCGGACAGGACCACTGAGCGGCCGGTCGGCGCTCAGTGGGCCTCTAAAATAGCGCTGCGGAGCTGTAATTTTAAAAACGTGAATTTTCTTAAAGTATCGGTAATTTCTGAACTCAGCGACCCCCAAGAGTCCCTAACAAAGCATTTTGCTCAGTTTGAACATTCAATCTGATCTAATAACAGTCAAATCCGACTTTTTTGCGCGCGAAAATCGGTCGGCGCGCGTTGAGCGGAAACTTCAATCGATTATAACTCCGGAACCGTTTGGTTCCCCAGCTTAATGGACCACTCGTTGGATGCGGAAAAAGACGAACAATTTAAAAAACTGGTTTTGGTTCAAATAAAAAATTGAGATCTTTGTAAATTTTTCGTTTAAAAGAAATTTTCTAGACCTAAAAACTGGAAAAAAGCACATATGTTGACTTAAAAATGTGATATCGGGATTTTGACCTTTAGAATCTTAAAGTATGCAATTTTAGACGATTTTTCGTCCAAACCGGACCTCGATATCTTGCTTTGTTCAAGAGATATCGAGGTTCACAGGTTTTGACTTCCACCCCCCCTAGCTCCCCCCCAAAATTTTTTGGGGGTCTGAAAATTTGGGAAAAGAAGCGCTCAAGTATGAGTAATCAATAGACAAAGTCTGAAGAACTTCCAGAGGGGGGGCGAAAAAAGCCGTTTTTGCATCAAGCTCTTTATAGATAGATAGATAGATATATGAGGAGCTTTTGAAGAGGAAGGAAAAATATTGATAAACTCGATATTTTTCCCAACTTCGTAAGTGGGATTTTTCCCTGGGACAAATCCCGTGAAACGGCCCGTGGAGACGATGCCGAAGATATTTTCGTTTTTTTTAGATTACCGCATCAATACGATATATGTACTACGGCATAGGTGAACATTTTGTCAGAAGAGTCGTTCAAACACTTCCGCACTGGGGTGCTACGCAATATTCAACATGGACGCCAACCCGCCAAACACAAGTGACTAGACGAGCTTTTATCAACCGGCAGATTTATACAATTTCAGTGGCGTGGCGTGCTTTGCGATATATCGATTAATCTACCATTTGAACCTACGGAAAAGGATCGATTAATAGGGTGTTCGCAGCGAACACCTTAGGCCTTGTCTCCACGGGACGTTTTCATGGGATTTGTCCCAAGTTCGAATCGCAGGAATGAATCTTCTGGGATTTTTCCCAGTTACCGTCTCCACGGGACGGGGCTCATACAGTCCTGCGACTAGTTTTCGCGGGAAGATAAATTGGTTAAAGTCGAGTATTTAACCGGGATTAAAATAATAATGAGGCAGTTCGGCTGGCGAGGGATTGGCTTAAAAGCTATTGCACTATATGTAAAATTTCACCAGAAAAACGATGAGCACAATAAAAAGTTTTGAANCTTCTTCTTCTTCTCTCAGTGGGTCCTAGGGGTACAAGTACCATACTTGGTACTGGGAAAAATATTGATTAACTCAATATTTTTCCCAACTTCGTAAGTGGGATTTTTCCCTCGGACAAATCTCGTGAAACGGCTCGTGGAGACAAGGCCTTCATAATCGATTCTTTACAGTGGATTCAAATGGGGAAATATCGATAATCGATCATTCACGCCACGCCACTGCAATTTACATTTTCCTTGCGTTGATAATAAAGGCCATGGTGCTCCCTCACGATTTTCGCGCAGAAGTGTCAGCCATGTTGAATATCGTGAAGCATCCTGGTGCGGAAGGGTTGGAAGGAGCGACTCCTCTTAAGAAATGTGAACCTGTGCCGTTGTATCGTTTTTGAAGCGGGACGTTTAAAAAAGCGCAAATTTCTCGCGTGTGAAATTAATAATA